ACACCTGTTCACCGGAGAAAACTTCATGTTCTATGCCCGCGCCTCCTTCTCGCAGGCACTCCTCTGCGTCCAACGGAACAAATCAGGAATTCCTCCTCTGCCTCTCGTACGAGAATAACTGCCTCTCCAGAGCCGACGCGCCTCACCAAACTGCTCAGGTCCTTCTGCTTCGAGAACTCCCGAACCCTTCTTTGCAAGATATCTGCCTTTTCCCTCTGGCCGAGCTGCTCGCAAGACCGTACTCCTGCTCCAAAATCCTCTGCTAGCAGCGCTGTCGCAAATTTTCGGCCCTCGCTCGCAAACTGTTCCTTCTCTGTCTCGCCGAACCGCACAACCTGCGGTGCGAGTCTAGTCAATCAATGCTTCCACTGCTCACCGAATCTGTCGCGATTCGGCTGGCTGCGATGAGAACCGATCTTCTTGCTCCTCTATTTGTGAATGTTGAACTTCTCTTCTTCGTCGCTGGTCACAAACATATTTACGTGGACACCTCTAGCCAAGAAGTATGGATCTTCCCACATACGGCGCCAATTATTGTGAGATATGTACTTCCTGGCATAGAAATGAAACACAAAGAACACAAGCAAACACAAATCGTTTACGTGGTTCGATCCAACTGGATCTACGTCCACGGGAGGGAATCAATCAAATAGTTCACTAAGGCAAAAGAAATGGAGAATACATAGCTTATACATAGAGATGAACCCTCATCTTCCTTCTATGACCTCCCTCTCAAGCAACACCTTGATACGAGACCTCAAGATGCTCTCCTTATCTCTAGCTCTCTAGCTATTCTCTCCTCCTTTATTGTATTATCAACTAAAAATTTTTAAAATTAATTAAAAATAATTCTTTTTAAAACTCATGAATACTTTTCTTAAAATGTTCGATTAAAGTTTGACATTAACTTAAAACTTAATATAAATTCTAATTAAAATATAGTTTAATTTAAATAAAATAAAATTAAAAGCTAATTTAATAGTTTATTTAAAAGTTAAATAGTTTTTACTTCATTAACTTAAAAGTAATTAATTTTATTTTCAAAATTCTAAAAAATATATAGTATTTCTTTTAATGCATGCATACCTTAAGAGAAAAGCAAAACTAAATTATAAGAAAATGAAAAAAAAAATAAAAAATGCGAAAGCATTGATCTAGCTGGTTCCATATTCCTTGTTGTTTATTTAGGACAGTTTACATACATGCCATCAATTTCTATGTACTTACATATCTAAAATTTAAACTTCAATTCTAACATATATATCACCTGACCTATGGATAAAAAGATGTTTCCCACATTTAAGAAGATAAAATAGTAATGATTTTATGTGATATGAAATATTTGGGTGGTATAAATATAAAAAATAGAGTTTAGGTGCTAGATCTGTAAATAAATAGGAGTTGGGTGGTATGTATGTAAAAGCCCTTTTTTTAATAAGAACTTTTCTCTCTTAGAGTTAGATTTTAGGTCCCACAATTCTCTGAACAAATATTACATCCGGACTCCGGACGTAGAGATATGTGCGGAGTCCAATGAAATTACGCCACGTGTGGAGGTGACAGAAAAATAAAAAAAAATCGTTTTAGATCCAATAACACAGGAGACACAGGGGCCCGTGCTATTTCGCATTATTCATGTGTTATTGTGGTAGTATTCATTTGTTATTGTGTTATGAGAATATTTCCGGCGTTATAATAACACAATAGCACATCAATACCACCACAATAACACCTGAATAACGCGGAATAACACAGGAGGAATATTGTCTTGTGTTATCGGGCCAGATCATAGGAAAGCGCGCGTGCTTTCTTGAAGCCACGTGTCTGCATATCAGTGGACTCCGAACGCATCTCTACGTCCAACTAAAATGGTCCGATTACAAGACAAGCTCAGTTTTCTAATATTAAGGCCTAATAAATCACTATTTACTGCAATCTTGGTGGCTGTCTGGGATTGGTTTAATTAGTTAAACTTGTTGGGGAGGGCCCTAATTTTATTGAGATGAAAAAATAAACTAAAATTTAAAGTTTGTTACGTGTCTCTTTAGTGAAAGTTTATTACGCCTGAAGTCCAGACATAAGCTGCGTCCGGATAACGGCTGCGAACCATTGAAAGTAGCGGAGAAGGAAAAAAAGACCTCCGATAGATCACAACCGTTGTTCTGACGCAGCTTCCTCTTTAATAAAGTTGTTTCTTTAAACATATCAGTACAAAGTATGTATCAAGATTATTTTACTACTTTGGATTATGTTCAAAAATTTATTTAAGTTTAAGTGTATTTAAATATTAGGTTATAATTATTTTACATGAGATATTTATTGTGATGCATCTAGTCCTAAATTTTATGTAAGTTCAATGTTGATAGAAACTACACACTCTCTCACTCACCAAAGTCCTCTTTAGCTATATGAAGCCATTTGTCTTGCTTCTTTCTAGCTTTCTATTGCACTGCAAAGTGTGTGGGACATTGAAGGTGGCATGATACCTTAAGGAAATCATAATTTCTCCCTTTCTTTCTGACAGCATCCTAAGAAGTTTAGAAGGCTTTCTTCCTGCTTCGGTGATAAATAAGAGAAAATATTTAACTTTCGACCTCTATCAAATTGATGATAAATCTCACATCATCCATGAGACTGTTTCACAAATACTAATTTACTTTTAGGGCTGTAAAAAAAGTTTATTGTCTGTGTGAATAGCTCTTGTACTATTTGATAATTCGTGTTCGATTCGTTCGTTAAACAAACTAGATGAATAAGTATAATTTTATCCACCTCAATTTATTAACGAGCTAATCACGGATAAATGCTTGTGAGTTCGTGTTTGGTTCGTTCTGTCTCGAAATAATTTAAAATTTAAATAATAATATTTATTTATATTATTTTTTATATGTATTAAAAAGTAATAAATTTATTATTTTTTTAAAAATATTTGTTTGTATTATTATATAAAAAAATATATAAGTTTAGGTGCTAGATATGTAAATAAATAAATTTAGGTGGTATTTTTGTAAATGTTCATAAATTAGCCCGGTAGTACGTATGTAAATGCTCCTAGCAAGTTTCAAAATAAAATCCTAGCATATCCTTATCCCACGTAGGAAGCTTGGAAAAAAGGCTTTTCTCTTTGCTTTATAAATATATAAATAAAGCTCTCACATTTTACATGCTTGGAATACACCACCTGATAAGTTTGAAATAAGAACATTAAAAGCATTAAAAAAATGTCTTTTTCAAGGAACTCCAAAAAATACTTTTCTCAGGGGCTCGAATTTATCTCGTCTCCAACTCTACTCTCCACCCAAGAATGATTCAATTCATTTCCTAGCTTTGCTTTTAAAGATTCACCAAAAACCAACATGAAAAAACCTTCCAAAATGAGATTTGTCAGTCCGGCGACGTGGACACGCCAGACCCCTGTGTGGTCACGTCCGAAACTGTCATAGTCACGCTAATTCTAGCTTGATCACGCCTAGATCAAGTGTGGTCACACCAGTAGCACCTTTTCCTGCTTTTTTTGCTCGGTTTTGCTTGTTTGACACATATAACATGCACAACATAAAAAAAAAAAAAAACCTTCCACCAATATAAAATCATGATACATAGGGTAAAATAATAGGTAAGATGCAGGAATGAAAGTAGGTAAATCGCATAAAATTGGCGCATGTCATCTGGCACTATGGTGATCTAACAATGGTGCTCCAGTATGACGATGGCTCAATAATAGTGATCATATGTCTATGGTAGCCCAAAGATGATGGTGCGACATGTTGACAACTTCCTGATAATGGTGGGCTGGTGACAGTGGCTACATGGTGATAGCAGTGGACTAGTGATGGTATCAACATCTGCTCCATTGACGGGGCATTGAGGTACAACAAAAATGGATATGGTTTGTCAGCGTTGACTAGCTATAATGATCTAGTGATAGCTGCTGCCGAAGTTGGTGATTCACTAAAGGCAATAGTGGTAGCAGTAGCACCATGGGCCAGGAAATTGCGGTGAGAGTTTGGAGGTGTCAGCCAGGTGATAGTAACCCGAAGATGGCTTTTGTGGCTGAGCAACGATGATCAAGTAATAGTGGAAGTGTCAGCAACACAATGTTCTCAGCGACGAAGATGATTTTCTCTTGTTAGTGAGAGTATATTGATTTTAAGTATATTGGGCAGTGTCAACAAACATATAAGAGTGATGGGCGGGCGACACAACCATCGAATAATGATAAACAAGCAACAGAGCTTGGCATGTGATAAAGAGATTGAAGAAAGTCCACCATGAACGTTTGACCTATTTGAAACCGTTTGTTGGAGTATTACTCGATAACATTAGCATGTGCAAAAGAAGTCAAAAGAAATCCACTAAGAGTGATGATAATGCATCACATAGGCACATTGCTCTGTTTCAAATATTTATTTCAAATGCTGAATAAGGAAAAAAACACTGTTGATTTTTTAAAATTCTTACTGATTGCATACAAATATAAAATCCAGATATTTAAATATCAAATAAGGCGGGAGCACATTGATACTTTTTGCTCTGATAATGGCAGCCATCTTCTGAAAGATTTTTTCATTAAAAATCAATAATGTTTGTAAATACATATCTTATAAAGGCTGCAGTTGTTAGAGAGAAAATATTTTACACTGTAAGCATATGAATCAATCAGAAAGGAATTCTTCAATTTACACCCTCCAAGGGACACTGAGACTTAACCAATAGATGTAAAGCTTTTCAGTTGTTCTGTTATGACAATTTTTTCTTCTAATTAACTTTTCTGTTCTATAAACATGTTTGGTTTGTTGTCAAGAGCTTTATCTGATTCCTTCCTATTGCTGCTCCAGATCTTCTTCCACTAACCGGATTTCTGATACCTCATTGCCCTGCAATTTATAATAATTTAAATGATCTAACTGCTGAAAAATAGTGAATTGGAAGATATATAGGAGAGTGAAATTAAAAATATATATATAAATGAAGCCCAAACTTCCTAAATTTATGAAAAATGCACAGATTTTAGGATAAGAAAATTTACATGAAGCTGAAGTTTTTGTGCGTTCTGGATGAAAGTGATCAGACGCATCACCAAATAGAAAGGCAACAAAATACCCACTGCTCGTAGAACAAATACCTGCAATAAGATTTCAAACTTATGCTTGTCAAAAACTAATAAATTTTTTAATATAATCTGCTAAATGAAAACTAGCCGTTAGCAGACAAAGTACACTGATACTCACTGTAGCAAGAGTGAATGCATAGTCTTCAGCATTACCAGATAGCAAAGCGAAGAGATGTCTGACTAAGAGAATGATTGTAAACTGCAAAAATATTTTAAATTATTTGGTTGAAAAATGAAAATATATTAATTTAAATATGATAACAATCACTTACCATTAAAACTATTAATCTGCACAATGTCACACTACGATCGGATACTCTTTCAGGTTCATTGCTGGTGATAACCAATACAGTATGATTCTCAGGGTCATAGTTGTGCCTGGCCACCTCGATGGTTTCTCTGAAATTTCACCAATCTTATTAGAATCATTTGAGCTGAATTATTTTATTGTCACAAACCAAACAATCAGCCAACTTATCAGGATAAGTTGTTGATTAGTAGATTATCAAGATAAGTTGTTTATCTGAATAAGCTGCAACAGACCCCAAGTCAATAAAGCCAAAAAAAGGAGCATTTACAGACATACCACAAAATTCTCATCTATTTATCTAAACATTCATATTTATATGCATACCCCTCAAAGCACTATCTTTTTAAAGTGAAATGCTCATTTTCATGCATATGTTTATATCACCAAGATGTTATAAATGTAAATATTAAAATATGGGTGTTAGATATGCAAATGTATGAGAATTGTGTGGTTTGTATGTAAATCGCCAAAAAAAATTGCAAGGAATCTAGCTCTGTCTAGTTGAGGAAATGTGCCCATTCCAGCAGGCTTTCTACTGCAATATATTACTAATAATAGAAGGACAGTTGGGGGGGACAAAATTAAATTTAATTGAAACCGAAGATATCGGCTCTAATTTTTGGGAAATAATTAAAACTGAAGTGTTATTGGGAGAGAAAGAGGAGAATATTTTCATGTAGAAGATGAAAACGCAGAGAATAGAAAGATTACCTTATGGTGAAAACAACATCAACTAAATGGGGCTTAGCAGGTTGTGGAAGACTGACAACATAGCCTGGCTCAAATTTCTGCCAAATTGAGGAAAAAATAATAATTTCAGAGAAAAATAAACAATCAATTTTCTTTGCCATCAACCTATTTCTCCTGCGTCAGTACAAATTATACATGTATATATATATATATACTTATATAAAAATTCACCTTTCATTGTTGCTTGGAACTGAGCGTTGAAGCAACTCAGGCTTCACTTTCGAAAAAGATAGAAAGACAAGTTTGGAGAAACTTGGTGGGAAGGGAATAAAAAATTATTTCTTATTTGATAGGTTGGAGCTGAGTTAAAATTGAATCTACCACAGTGAAATATACTATAGAAATTAAATTACCAAGCAATTGAAGGAAAAAGAGCTAATTATAATTTATAATTGCCCAAATAATCAAATAGGGTCCATCCAAATATGCATCTGAGCCAAACTTTGCAAATCCATTTTATTCAAAAAAATAAATAAAATAGACGTTTTATATTATGAAAAAAATTGCAATTTATAAATTTATCACCATTTTTCATCTATTTTTCAAATTCTCACTCAATATCAAAATTCATGATAAAAGATTCTTCATTTTTATCAAATTCTCCATGATTTAATTATGACACACGTAAATGCATTGATTTGATAGTTTAAAAAAAACATTTTGGTGCTAATAATATAAATGTCAATATTATGTAATTATCCAAAAAAAAAAAAGACCATTTCAATTCAAAAGAGGCTAAAAAGGCTTTGTCCTGTTCTTCAACGCGTCAAACAGGGGACAGCCCATGGAGCATATATTATCCAATAAACCAGAGCACATAAAAACAAAGTAGCAAACCAAGCCTCGGAATCGACAGAGTTCCATCCCAGGAAGATGAATATCAGCAAAGTTCGCAACCAGAAAAGCAAGTTCAACAAATTTAATTTCAAATTTATGAAAATTTTTCACAAGAAAAATTCTGATTCCAACCCATGCCGTTTAAATTAAAAGAATTATTGATTCTAACCTGGAGACAGATCTCGCAAACGTTGTTCCCTTTCTCGTCACACCACCGCTGTATGCATCTTCTGTGAGCAAACTGAAACAGAAAAAAACTCAAATAAGGTAAGATTGATGAATTAATTGAAAGAGCATAGGGTTTTTTCCTCTTCTTCAGCTTCAGTTACCTTGAGAGTTCCAGAACAAGAACAGGGAGATTCCAAGCTGGAGGAGTTCTCATCGTCTTCTTCATGGCAGATTCTACAGAAATTAACTGATGAAGAAGAAGAAGAAGAAGACGATGATGATTCAAATTCATCCGCGCCCAATCTAATCTTTTCAACAACCCCAAATTCCATCTCTCTCTCTCTCGATTCTCTATATCTCTCCTATTTTCTGCTTTCTATGCCGTTCCTGCTCTTTATGCATTCTCTTCTGCTCGTTAGCGTACGATTTTAAATAAGGAAAGAAGAGCAGTTCTTAAATGCCCCAAAAAATTAAAGAAATGGCGAATGTGCCCTCGAAGGTCTGCACGCCGGAGCACTACGGAGAACTCGCCACGGCTTGTTTTTGTCGGATATGCGCTGGCTCCCCGCTGCCCGGGTTGGACCGGGTTCAAGCATTGACTGCATCATATGGAGCACGACATTGTTGACGTATCCTAAGCTTATTTAGTTTGTATGTATCACAGTTGACACGTTAGTTGATTGCCACTTGCTAAGTGGCACATATATATATATGTATTGATTCTATTGGAGCTTTTGAACAATTGACTGACATTAAAAAAAATGGCTTCACATGAATATATATATATATATATATATATATATACATATATATATATATTGATGTGTGTTAGAATATCTGCCACGATAGAGTAGTAAATTTAGTATTTTAGCAATGCATGAAAATTCAGCCAAAACTCGGGGAATTAAAAAAAAAGTAGGTAAGATGAGACACAATTAACCCTTTACGTGGAAGATCCTAAAAAAAAAAACAATGGGGAGTGGCTTAGTTGAAATAATTCATTATTTAATTATGAGTGCATGAGTCCACTTTTCTCCAGAATTAAAGAAATTACAAAGTTGTGATAGTTCAATAATAATAGTTATAACATGTCACTAAGTTTATAGTGGATGGTTGTGAAGGCGGTAACCTGCTATGAATGTTGTGAATAATAGTTGTAGTGCTAACTTGTCGTAGAGATCTTAGTTGAATGTCATGGTAATAGTTAGCAATGTTGAGCCATAGATGATTGCTCCGGGAGTCTCGATTGTCATAGAGGACGTAGTAAGGAGTTGTGAGAACCAAGAGCCATATAGGTTGTAGTTGGTCAGCTAGGTCATAGTGATAAATTGTGTTAACTTCCATAGGCCACAGAGACTAAAGTTAAGAGTCGCATGGGCTAGGGATCACATCTGTTGCAGTTGGCCACGTAGGTCATAATGGTGAGTTGTGGTGATGTCCTTAAGTCGTTAGGGAAAGGGTTAGGAG